CCCGCCCCGCCCCGCACCACCACCCGTATGACCACGCTGAACAATGGCCCTGTGTCATTTCCTTTGCATTATTTCTCGCTTCTCATCTTTCATTATTTGAAATGATTCTGATCTCTGTCTGGATGTTTTATTGAATTTGTATGCAGAATACGATATAATGTTTATATATTCACATTCATGTATCAAATGATTTTGTGTCGAGTATAAGTTTAAAGGCTAGAGTTAAGTTAACTCGTCACCTTATTTTATTTTGTATCTGGCAAACGTCTTTCCCAGAAGTACAGCGGAGGACGTTTATATCCTCACAATGCAATTGATCCTTACTGTCTTACTGGATTACCGGACGAGATACCTTTTTATCATTTTTGTCATGAAAAAATAAAGCGGTTATGTTATTTAATTGAAAGTAAATATAAATATAGGTATGAAGATGTACAGGTAGTCATTAGTCAGGCGATGCAGTGCGCCCGCACACTGCACGCCGCACGCCGCACGCCGCACAGCTCGGGTCCGCGCTCAACCGAGTCATACATAATATAGAATCATGTAAATGTTTCTGTAATGCAAACTCACACTAACTCACATCTTTGTCAGGTGTACATGTTGCGGGGTAGTGGATGTATGTATGTATGTATGTATGCAGAGAGGCTGAGAGGTGGGTGATGAACAAACTGAACGTGTAAATGTTACAATATAAGTATTTAAATACTATCAATGTATTTAAAAAAATATGTATATAATTAATTTAAATTTAATTGAATAGTTTGATGAGCAGCAATATCAATATCGAACATTTAAATGCTTATTATATTTTGGCTAAAACAATTGTAACTACTGAAAGGAGTATTGTGTTCAACGTTGCAACAATAATGTATTGTCCTCATGAATCAAGTTAAATATGTATAATGTTTGTATTTGTTAATTAATTGTAGGAATTGTCATTGTATTATAATAAATGAGATAGTTGTTGGAGGCGGCTGTGAGACATGCAGAGTGCATCTCACACACCTCTGTCTGCACACTACTATCTACATACATATCATTTCTTTATATCTATATTATTTGCTATCATCATCATCATCATCATCATCATCACGCGTCATGTAATTTTTATGGATTATAATTTGATGTGTTTTAGTGATTAAGTGAATGTGGTGTCAGTTTCCAGTCACCGATGTATGTATGTATGTATTGTAAATATAACTCGTTGCTATTTTTGTATGTAAAATGATTTGTTTGTATTGTGACGATGTAAGAGTCGGGTGCGGCCAGCAGCAGGAGCCGGCAGTGCAACATTCAACTCCTTGTAAATCTTTATATTTATTTTAAAGTGATTCTGTTTGTTGTATTATTTGTGCATTTCCTTAGTTTAATTTTCATAGTGACCGGTGTCATTACCTTGTTGAATGTGTGACATTGAATGCGACGCTGAGCCGCGGCTCGCAGCTCGCAGCTCCTCGTGTACTAACCATATTTGTATTCAGACCTCATAGTATGTGAGGCGAAGCGAGGGTTTTGGCATTCACTTAATCGTGGCAGCTCAACATAACGTACATACTTTACACCAGACAGCACGTTGATTACAATTTACTCACATCTCAATCTGATGTCTTTGAGTATTTGTAGCGAACTATGTTGTTTATTTAATATTTTAACCGACTGCCCTAGGAGCACCGCTCTATATGTTGACAGTTTTATATGTGTGGTGCTCGTGAGCGAGTGTATAGCTGCCACGCTCGAGTAAATCTCTAAATACCCACTTCTTCTTCTCTACCATATACGTGTACCTACATTTCATAATTCATATTTGTCGTGTCAAAGCGGAATATTTGGTAATATAGAGCGATACACAATCATATGAGTATTTCATTTTCTGACCTCTCTGGTACGAGTTGGACGTGATTTATCTAACACCGCCGCCTCGGAACTCGTCGATACCTAAGCAGTGTGCACTAGCACAGTACAGCGCAGATACTGCTCCCTATCTATTCAAGTTGTTGGAGCATTGAAATTTATAAAAAAAGCTAATTTTACATTATAATCAACATCCTATATTTATAAAGTTACAACAAAAAGAATTAGACCTGATCGAGTGACAACTAGCATCGGTCAAAGTGCGGTCAGTCGCGACCGAAGGCGTGCGTCTCCTGCGGCGCGTCGACGCGCACGATGGTGTCTGCGGGCGTGAAGTACCCCTCGTAGTGCACGGAGTCGGGCGTCGTGTCGTAGTGGTAGTGGCCGCCGTCGCCGTGCGCGCTGAACCCGTGGAAGTGCTGCACGCGCAGGTCCAGCCCCAGGTCGGCGGTGACTAGCGTGCCCACATGCACGATGGGCGCGCGCATCTCGAAGTAGTGCAGCCAGCGGTCAACGTCCTCGTCGCTGCACAGCGCCGCCGACGAGAAGTCCGGCATCACGTGGTGCTTGACGCGCCCCTCGCGCACCACGAACGCGCCGCCCAGCCCCACCCCGCGCTCCCCGTACCGCGCCCGCAGCGCGCCGCGGATCGCCGTGATGAAGTTGTCGCCGCCCACTCGCCGCTTGGCCACCACCCGCACCACCTTCCCGGCCGCGCCCTCGCTCATCAGGTAGTTGCCGAGCAGCGCCGTGCGCGTCTCCCCGTCCGGCAGCCGCCGCTGCAGATACCCGCTGCTGCCCTTCGCCGCGCCCACCGGCTGCACGCTCACCACGCGCGTGCCCTGCCGCACCGCGCCGTCTTGCAGGCGGAGGTTGATGATGCCCTGCGTTACAAACTCACATTTATTGATCACAATGGAACACTAATAACCGCAAGCATCAAAAGTATGAAAAGCGGGGTGTTCCGGTAACCTCGCAGTTGACACCGATGTAAGGCCAGGGCCCGGCGCCGGCGCCGACCAGCAGCGCGGGGTCGCGGCGCAGATGTCGCAGCAGAGCCGCCAGGTCGTACACCTTGTCGCGCTGCACTAGAGGCACCAAGTAGGGCGGTCCGCCGATCTCCACCAGCGTCGCGTTGCCCGATATGCCTGCGTACCACCAGATGATATCACTCGCCGAACTATACGAGCGTTGCTCAAAATATGGCGCTTTCGAGATGACATTGTTAGTTCACATACATTCCGACTGCCCAAAGATCTTTGTGGAATGTCACGCATCCATCATCCATCACAGATACAGATGTTATCAAAATAGTGACGTGAATTATGACGCTGGGGTTAAATTATTATCAACAACACACCTTGTTCATATTAAAATTTTATCATGTCCGCTAATGCTCGCTGTAACTATACTACAGAATAATGGATTTAGGTTACTTTTTTAATTAGGAGGAAGTCGCGGCCGACCGCTACATGTAAAATTAAACATTCCTACTTCCCTGGTTGAGCCGATCTTGTGTCATCCATTATTTTTTTATTTGTTCAATTAGCAAACACCACAACCAACAGCAAATAATGGGCGCTGTTATATTGTCTGTGCAAACGGACAATGTATGTATACGTAATTAGATAACAAACAGAGATAAGCTGCAATCAGCAGCTGCTGCAATGTAATCGCAGAGACAACACGGGCACGCTACCGGTATTGATGCTGCTAGCATTGTCTATTGCGGGGTCTCGAAGTATTGCTCTAATGAATAATTTCCAGTAATGTTCGATCTAGGTTATGGAGGTGAATTGGCATTTAAAATCATCTTAATTTCGTTTAAACCTCAAGTGCCGGAACTTATATACTTGTTGTAAACTGCACTGACCTGGCGCCTGCAGGTCGAAGGGCGGCTGCGTGAGGTCGGGGCAGTCAACCACGGACACCTCCACAGTCTCAAAATTAGACCGCAGCTCACGTGATAGTACTGCAACACACACCTTCTTGTTAATTTGATGAGCTGACAGAACTCTGATTGCTAACATCCACAGTCGTTCATCTAGTATCGAAATCACCGGTAGCAACAAGTGGTAAATATAAAATACTTAATGAGGAAGTGATAAGAGAGAAGCGAAGTGAAGTATGACGGAGTTAGCACACTTTACTGGACTGACTGTACATTTTCTTTTCTTCTTTCATTCAAAAGCTGTTCTAAAAGTTTTTCTTTGTGAATGTAGATATTTCTTCAAGGGAAGATAGACTGACCGTCGGCGATCTCCTCGAGCGGCGGCACGTACAGCGCCTTCGTCTGGATAGGCACCTTCGTGTAGTCTACTGTCGCCATGCTGCAACGCGCACAGAAATAAAATTATTAAAGAGTAATTTACAAACGAACAAAACTTTTTAAATATATATTTCACTGTAGCTAATTGCCGTGTAGTTTTTATTATTTATTTATGTAAGCCGTTCATTCTTATTACTTGATATGTTTATATGAAACGTATAACTTTACTAGGTAATACGAATACGAGTTCAAACCGCAAGTATGTACTCCTGACACTACTTACCTCGATAAATTATTTGTATCGATTACCGCCGCTTCAACTACTATTAATAAAATAAAGTTTAAATAAAAGACGAGACTCGAGCGTCCGACGAGAATCATTATCAAAAAATTATACAAGTGTTACATGTTTTAGATAAGTTTATTTGTTGAGGTCGAAAGGCGATGACCTTAGGTTAAAACTTACGTAGATGGCAGCGTGAGAGCGGGGCCGGTGCAGGCGGAGCGGGCGCGCAGGCGGCGGCCGACCGCGGAGTGAGCCATGACCTTGCACGACGCTGTGTAAACAGCTTCTTGATCTATCATACTTTTTCACATTAAATGATAAGTAAACTGGAGATATTAAAATAAAATATACTTAATCATTATTACTTTATAGCTTCGTGGTTTACTGTATATCAAGGAATTTACGTTTAATTTTTTTCAGATTGGGTCTAAATTACATCACGTGGAAAATGAGATGATCCACAACAGAATGGAAGCACATTTCCATAAAATTATATATTTCAAAGCGGCAATCAATAAGCCATACTAAGAATAGACGGCTTTTCGAGTCAAAACGGTAATAATCATGAACTCTGTTGTTATCACATCTATAGTCTAGTTTAACAACAGGACAGCTAACTTTATGTGATGCTGTCATCCGACAAAAGTTGAATAACTAATAGATAGTAGATAAGCGTATGGTAATTATAAATGAATAAAACAAACAACGTATTTAAAATAATTTATTGCTGCATCATCTCACATATAGTTTAACTGAAAAACTGCAACAGACAAATCTCACATAGTGACAACTTAAAAAGGTCCCAAACCATTTGACCGCACCATCAACTACTTTGCTTTAAGTCGACATAAGTATCGAACTTAATATTTGACACAACTTTATACTTGACCAAATCTTTAGTTAATTTATACGATCAATGTAATTAAGTATATACATTTTGTACTAAGTACACGTGTAAAAAGTACTTTAAATTAAAATAAATAGATATTTTAAATGACAAACTAAGTAATATTTAAGAAAGATTATAAATAATCAACACCTATGTCTTAACAAAACGTAAGTCTACAATATAAAGCAGTTTGTCGCAGCGGCACAGCCTCACACCTACAACCCACTTATACTACTCGTTACTTATACTACAAAAAACTATTATAAAGACCTTTTTTCACGATGTGTATTGCTTTAAATAAAATTTTACAATGTGACCGATGTTTACATAAACATTTGTCAAATTAGAACCAAGTCAATATTGATCGAGTCGGTACTTTGTACGGTAATGCTACAGACTCCGTTTTATCTAATAGATGTACTGACTCTAATTACTTCTACTGATATTACTTTAAAATGTCAATAAACAGATAAAGGAAACAGCATTGTCAGCGGAGCTCTCCCCCACCTACCCGTCTCACACTTTGTGCTCAACTTTTAACAATAAATATGCGACTTATATATTTATGATTAATGATACATATAAATGACGCTGTGACGTCACATAAAGTTATAACATATGCTTTGTTCGTACTTGTCGTATGTCTCCGAGCGGCAACATCCTCTCTACAGTTACAATCTATTCTTCATCTTTAATGGAATGTAAAACTAAATAATGACAAACTTAGGATAATGTCTTCGATAAAAAATTTGTTAATAGCAAAAATGTCGACAACAACTTCACCAGCCGCCCCTCTACACGCAAACATCAACCATGCAGCTGCCTGCAGATACCTGCCTTGTGATTGTCTTCTTGTGCTCTTGCCTATGCACTAAATCGAAACTTACACGTTTTATTACAATCACTACATTAATTTAACATAAATTAAGTATACAAGTTACAAATATTAAAATGAAAACATATTAAGTTATAAAAATTTGTGCTAAATGATTAACAATATTTTTGGTTGAATCAGTACTAGCGTAAAAGCGATCAGCCGCTGCGCCGCTACAAACAACCGTTACTTTAACTTAAGTGTAAATAAAAATGTTCATGACAATAAGTAAATAGTCCCGGCATGAACGTTTCAACATGATTTGACTGTCGCATGGCAGGTAATGTTAACTGTATTAGTTTGTGTGTGTGATGCGAGTGTATCGGGGGAGGGTCAGCCGAGGTCGGGGTGCGGCAGCAGCGTGTGCGCCAGGTCGCGGTGCAGCTGACGCGCGTGCGCCGCCGAGCGCGCCAGCCACACTGCCAGCTCGCCGCTGTCGCACTGCACGCGCGGCCGCCGCACCGCCTCGCCNNCCGCCCCCAGGCCCCGCCCCCACACCCGCACCCGCCCCGCGCACGCACAGCTCCACCAGGTGCGCGCCCTCCGCGTACACCGCAGTGCATGACACCAGGTTGCTGCACCGATACCAAGGAATACATTCAGCAGTCGTCCTCGTTTAAATTTGTAAATTTGCAAGTATGATAGTTTATTATCATAATACCTGAGATGGGTCTCCATGACGATTTGCGGCGCGTCGTGTTTGCAGGTGAAGATCCGGAGGTGCGTGTCGGTGAGCAGGGCGCGGATGTCGTGCGGCGGGCCGCGCACCGGCCGGTACGCCAGGAAGCGCTCGGGGTGCACCAGGGCGGGCGACGCCGGGGGCGCCAGCGCGTGCAGCAGCTGAGCGCCGCGCGCCGCCGCCGGGCAGTAGCGCGTCAGCGCGGCCGCGTGCGGCGCCGGGCGGGGCTCGCGAGTGCGCGCCGGCGCCGCCCGGCCCGCACGCGCGCTCGACTCGCGCACCGCCGCCGCCGCCGCCGCCGCCAGGTCCAGCACGCCGATGACTGGCTTAGTGACCGTGCCCACGAGGCCCTTACCCACGCCGCTCACGAAGCCGCCCAGCCCCTCCTGCGTCGCGCCCTCGTAGCTGTGCTTCACCAGGGAAGTCATGCCACCTGAGACGACAACGGTGACCGATGTAAGCGAGGATGTGGGTGAGGTGAGGTGAGCGTCGAGCGGGCGTGCTCACCGAGCAGGCCGAGGCCGAGGCCGCGCAGGCCGGCTGCGAGATGTGCACCGGCGGCCGCGCTGCGGATGCGCCGCCGCGTCTCCTCGTGCGCCTCGTCGCCCACCACGCGCTCCAGACCGTCGCCCAGGGACTCTACCGAATTTTAAGTGTATAATAATTTTTCTTCCGCGAAAACAATAAAAGTATTAACACTTCAGAAATCTACATGTGATATGTATTTAGATGAACCGAGTCACCGTATCGACCTGTGACTTTGGCCGCCGAGTTGGAGATGCCGTGCGTGACGTTCTTGACGAGCGCGCCCACGTTGCCCTCGAGCAGCAGACCCGACACGCCTTCCGACACGTCCGCCATGAAGCCCAGCGGGTTGCCCAGGAAATCCACCGAGCCTAGGATCTTGGCCGCCTGCCACTTGAGCTCCTGGAGGATGGAGGCAGGGTTACGGCAAAGTGCGTGTGTGTGGGTGCACGGTGCGGCGACGGAGGCGGCGTCATACGCACGTCCTTGAAGTGTTGCAGGGCGTGGCGCGCGAGGCAGGCCGCCGTGTCGAACACGTGCGTGCGCACGAACGGCTCCAGCTCGACCGCGGCGTGCTCGAAGCGCACCAGTGTCAGGCCCAGCCGCTGCTTCAGCGCGCTCAGCGCAGCCTCCAGCTTGCTAGCCGTGTACATCGACAGCCGGATCTGACGCACCACAATAAATAATCACCGACGAACTTAAACATTGCATATAATTAAGAGCAGGATCCTCGCGACACAGGCTGCGCCTAGTGCGAGGATACTGGTAAATACTTGTAATACCCACCTTTTTTGTATCCATTAAATTTCTTAGCTTAACTTTTTAATGTGAAATTATGTTCTTGGATTTTAATAAATTATTTTTCATTTTCATTTTCATTTTCAAATATGATAAACGATAACGGGGAAGAGGGATGGTACCGACCTGTCCCGGGATGAGCTTGATGAGCGCGAAGTAGTATCGCGTGGCGTGCAGCGCGGTCAGCTCGGTGAGCACGCGCCGCGTCTCGTACTCCACCTCGTCGGGCTGCTCGGCCGCCTGCGCGTCGCCGCCCCACTGCTCAGCCCACGCCCACAGCACCAGGATCAACCTCCACGCCGAAACAGATACGTCGCGGTCACACGAGCCCACCACATGTATCGTTTGTTTGCAACAAGTAGCGAGCGTTACCTCTCCTCGAGGCGCACGGAGACGGGGCGCAGCGCGACCACCAGGTGCCGGAAGTAGTAGGCGTTGTAGCGAAGAGCCGGAGCCGGCATCAGCTCGGCCGCCGCGTGCAGCGCCGCGCCCGCCGCGCCGCCCCCGCTCGCGTACACCAGCGGGCTCGCCGCGCCCACCAGCTGCAACGTCACGCCTCATGTTATATCAGCCTCACAATAGTGCTCGCACGGCCGCCGAACTTCCGCGTGCTCACCTGGTTGTCCCATTGTAGAGAGTCGACAGAGAGCGCGGCTAGAGCGGCGCGCGGCGTGCGAGCCAGCTCGAGGCGCACGCCCGAGAACAGCGCGTATACCAGCTCGGCGGGCGGCGCGCGACCCACCAGCGACACGCCCAGCCCGCCCAGCGACACGCGCACCCCCCACTCGCCGCGCCCGCCCGTCACCCCCGCCGCGCACTCCTCGTCCTCGCCATCGCCTTCGATACGACTCGAATCCTATTCAGTAAATATCACATATTTTAGCAATTCAACGAATAATTTTAGGTCACGTCTCATAATTACGCACCGGATCTTCGTGGTCGTGTATGCGTACGAGGCGCGTGGGTCCGGCGGCGCAGAGCGAGACGTCGAGGCGGCCGCAGCCGGGTCGCAACGAGTGCCAGCTGACGGCCTGCGAGGGAGGCACGCCGCCGTCCGCGCGCCCGCCCGGCAGGCCCAGCACGACCCGAGCACCTGGAGCACCGTCGTGTCTCTTTAGGACTGCGACCGGGGGTGCGAGGCGACCCAGTGCGGACTTGACACGTACCGGGCACGAGCGGCACGAGGCCGGCGTGGGCGGCGTGCGAGTGCGGCTGCACGCAAAGGTTGGCGTGCGCGCAGGCCATGCGGCCCGACGGCAACAGGCGCCAAGACTGCGTCGAGCGTCGCCGGGGGTCCGCGCGCCGCAGCACCAGCGCCGCCGCCACGCCCGGCCGCGGCGCCGCCTCCTCTATGTCCAACACCTGGACGAGCAAAATTACTCTCCATAATCTAAAATGGCCGCAACCCATATCACAGGCTTTCACAAAATGAGACAACACACGGACGGACCATAGCGTGCGGCGAGAGCGCGGAGTCGTCGGGCAGCGCAGCGTCGGTGGGCTGCGGCGGCGAGCTGCCCTCGTGCACCAGCTGACCGGCCGCCGCGCGCCTCCACAGCTGACACCTGCACACCCCCACACACATCACTCGCATCACGACACGACTCGACACCGTCGCACCTCGCACCTCGCACTGCTCGCTCGAGACGCGCCACTCGTACCGGTCCCCGTAGCGCTTGCGGCCGAGCACGACGCGCGCGCTGCCCGCCGGCACCTCCAGCACCAACACGCTGTCGTCGTCGGTCGATATCTGCTTGCCCGCACTGGACATGCCGTCGTCTCTGGTGCTGGTGGCGGGGAAAGCGACGTACAGGAAGTTCTGATAGAGCAGACGGTGAGTGTGCGCGGCGGCCTCCAGCGGCAGCACGAGCCGCGGCCCGCCCGGCGCGCGCAGCGCCAGCGAGCTCGCGCCCTCCGGCTCCGGGAGCGCCCAGCACGCGCGCGCGCCCGCGCCCACCACGCACTCCTCCGCGCACCCCACCTGACGAGTGATCCACACGCAAAACTCATTAGTAACAAACTACTAGGTCAAAGTAAATGATGAAGGGGAGGGTCATGCCTGATGGAACATGATGGCGACGGGCGAGTGGTTGTCGATGCGCAGCGGCGGCGGCGCGCACTCCGCGTCCGTCAGCACCACCAGCAGCGTGCCGCCCTGCGACACCACCTCCACGCGCACCAGCACGTACGACCCGCCGCTCTCCCTGCAATGCAACACTTAATTACAATAACACACTCATTTCGTCCGTCGTAGCGACCGGGATCGAGCGAACAGGGACCTATGATAAATGAACTGAAAAAAAGATGGTTCGAAATGAGGTTATGTACCTGCAGGCGATGTGCAGACTGCGCGGCTTGTCGATGCGGAAGCCGCCGGACCAGGCGGTGCGCGGGCGAGGCGAGGTGTCGTGCAGCACGCGCGCGCACAGCAGCTGCTCGCGCTCGCGCCGCGCCCAGTGCCACGGCAGGTGGCAGCCCGCCACCGCCGACACGTGCGTCGCCGCCGCGCCCGGGTCGCTCTGACACACACCGCCACACCGCCACACCGCCACACGTTACACATACCCAACAAGCTATACCTTCAACACTAACTACTTCTTAATACATAGACGATGGTTGAGCTAATAGTACCATAGGATTTTTGTTTTCACAAAAGTCAGAAATATTAGCTTGTGCTTGTATCTTAACTTGATTAAAATTGTGGATTGCTCACTAGTGTGGTGGCGGTGCACTTCTGCGCGAACTGCAGATGGCGCGAGGTGTTGTTGTGCAGCTGGTAGCGCGGCGTCAGCGTCACGATGTTGGTGTGCCGGTAGCGGCCGCGACCCGCGCGCACCGCCACGCCCACCGCGAACGATCGATCGCTCGCCGGCCCCGCCCCCGCCCCGCCCTCGCCCACGCCCACAGCACCGCCGCGCGCCTCCAGACGCTTCACCGTCACGCCCGGGCCCAGCCCGAAAGGCGAGCACCACTGTACAGAATATTTCTTTATTTTATAAGGTGGCAAACGAGCTAGCGACCACCTTGATTTCCTTATAAAAAAAAAGATGAAAAGGAACGTGTACTAAAATTAGGCCAGAGACGCAGACTGTACGCGATATGGCTTCAAACGAGCGAGCTCATTCCCGCACACAAAAGTTTTTACAAATGGGTGTTAGGTAAAAACCGACCTCAGGGTTGGGGGTGATGCCGGTGCCGAGGCGTGCGGCGATGGTGGGTCCGCCGTCCGAGTCCGCGAAGGAGAAGAGCAGCGGCGCCACCATGCGCGCCAGCTCGTGCTCCGCGAACTGACCGGCCGCCTCGCTGGCGCCGCCCTCCGCGCGGAACACCAGCGGCAGCCCCGTGCGGTTCACCAGCCAGTACGCCGCAGAGATCGACACCTGCACACCGCACACCGCACGTCACCACACCACCTCAAAATCTAAAGAATCACAATGCGCGTTGCTTTGGACCGAGGCGGGTACCTTAATGCCGTCCGTCTTCTTGACGCCAACCCTGGCGTTAAGGTACAGTCTGCGGCCGCGCAGGTCGCGCAGCTTGAGTCGCGCGCCGAAGGAGGCGCCCGCGGCCGCCGAGCCCGCGCCCGCACCTCCCACGCTCAGCGGCGACGACCATCCGAACCCTTCCAGCTTTACGCTCACCTCGACACCCTCCTCCACGTTCACCTGCACAATCGACGCCACCTTATACTTCATATAAAAACGACTCCCAGCGGCTTTGGGTGTAGGCTAGCAACGATCACGAGCACGATGAAAGGAGCGGGACCTCGTGGAAGGGCCTGGTGTCAGCGGGCGGCAGCGTGCCGGTGACGTCGCCGGCGCGGTAATGCAGCTCGAGCGGCAGCAGGTTCTCCAGGCGCAGCGCCGGCACCAGCGTCAGCGTGTGCCCCGCCACCGGCCCGCGCCCCGCCGGGAACCGCTCCCGTAAAGTCACACAGCAGAACCTGTGCCACAATATACTATAAAGGCGATGACTCCATCTTGTGTACCTCTGTAAGTCAAGTTCTTTCCCCGTGTTGGGGGTTATACAAAAAAAAAAATAAAAAAACCATCGGGTATATGTATGCAAACATATATAAACTGACTAAAAAATAAAGTTAGTCGAGGAGCAAAGTAATAATAGGAATTGAATAACCTGTAGATGTGAGAGGGCGGCGCGCGGCACTCGCGGTGCAGCAGGTCGTGCTGAGCGCGCACTTCGCGCCAGTCAAGGCGGGCGGCCGGCAGGGAGGGCGCGTGCGGGGCGCGCGGCGGCAGCGGGCGCACGCTCAGCGCCGCAGCATGTGCGCTCAGCGGCGCCGCCCACCGCGCGCCCGCCGCCACCTGCACCGCGCGCGCGGACACGCCCTCGCCCGCCCGCGCCCCGCCCCATAGCCCTGCCACATGCCACACAATACATTCTACATATGTACACCTCTACCTATTGACCACATTAACACTAACTTTTCTACTAAGATAGAATGTAAGATATGTTGCAAGCTATAGATAATATATAAGATATTTAAAGTGATGTCTAAGTTGCGTAAAAAATGCGATTTACAGTAAGTTTCTGACACCAAAATCTCTGTATAAAACATATCGTGAGACCTGTCATTATCTTTAACAAAACAGAAATAACAATATGTTTTAAACGGAAATTTCGGTCTCAGAATCTCACGGTGATCGGCTCAACTATTGCTACTTTGGTATTGCTCAGCTATTAGGGATATACAAGTAAACCACGATGATAATGCTTTCTATCCGACCCAATGCCGACTACCCTTTAACACTACTTTTATTTTCGTTACATTAAACGTGTATATTTTTTGTAAACTTCTATATTTACATGGAGCCGACTAAATAATTCTATAAACTATACACAAATCCGTTAGGAACATAAATAGGCTAGGATTTGAATAATGAATATTTGATGAAGTAGTGTTAGCGGGTACCGCAGTGCGCGGCGAGCGCACGGTGGGCGTGCGGCGCGCCGGCGGCGAGCGCGCGGCAGGCGGGCAGCGCGTGCGACACGCCGCGCCAGCGCAGCGCCGCGCACGCCTCGCGCAGCCGCCGCCGCGCCGCCCCGCCCCCGGACACGCCCCCGACCGCGCCCCCGACCGCGCATGCAAAAGCGCCCAGCGCTACCATGCACTCTACAATACTACACACCCTCAACTTCTTGTAATTAATTGCTTCGTTATAAATATTTTTAAATTCACTAATGTTAACGCTTTACTACAGCTTTCTAATCGCGATACTTTCACTAATGCATAACTTAATCAGCGATATTTGTGGTGCTTGACTAGCTGAGCACTCTTTTGTTTTCTTCAACTGCTGGTAGTACATGTATCAAGCGGCAATAATAAAGGAGTTTCTTCCTTTTTTTCTATTAGATTGCAAAGATGTGTATTAACCGGAGGAGGGGGAGGGCGAGGAGGCGGTGGTGGGCGCGGCGTCGACGCGGACTTCCACGGCGTGCGGCAGCAGGTTGACGAGCTGCAACGCCGACCTCACAGTCACCAGCTTGCGCGCTGACCCCTCCAGCGTCACCTCCAGCACCAGCCGTGCCTCCGCAAAGCTCTTCTGCACAAAACAATTAATCATTTACTTACATATTCTTTCACCTTCACAAAAACTCAGCAGTATACAGTTGAACTACAATATACTTGATGCGTGATGGTCCGGAAGAATACGCCCACTTGGTCGACCCGGACGGGATCCGGCGGGCTCCAGGCGGGCAGGCGCAGCGCCACCCGGTGCAGCGCCGAGCGTGCACGCCCGCGGCGTAGTCCGAACGAGAAGGGCTCCGTGTCACCCGCGGACACCGACACCCACGAGTCGTCCGGTGCGGACACGCCCCCGGCGCCGCCCACGCCCCCGCCCCCATACTCCGCCTCCGACTCTAGCAACCTGCCGAGAGAACGGTCTTCTTTGTGAAGAAATTGAATGCAATTTACTCTGGGTTACACTTTACTGTATTAAATGGTTGTCTCGAAAGCTTATAAAATATTACTGACTGTTCGGCGGTGGTGAGCAGCGTGGTGAACCAGAGGCGGTGCCCGGTGTGATTGCGCAGCGCGTAGGGCACGAAGGGCGCTCGCCGCCGGTGCCCCGCCGGGCTGCCCTTCGGGGACGCTTCCGCGCTGCCGCCGCCCGCCTCGCTCCCCCCGCCCTGGCACTCCAATATAACAATCAAATTAAAATTAATATATGGTTGTCAGGGCAGAAATATTAACAACACTAAATATATAACATAGAATGCTAAGGCCGTGGTGCTCACGTGTGCGCTGTTGGCGGGGGCGGTGTGGGCGGTGTGGGCGGTGTGGACGGTGTGGGCGGGGAGCGCGGCGGGCAGGGCGTAGTAGTCGGCGGTCCAATTGCCGCGCACGAGCCGCGCGAGGTCCAGCAGCGCGGAGGTCACGTTCACATCCAGCGTGTCGGCGCTGCTCACCTCCGTCTGCAGCCGCCGCAGCGACAGCGCCGACGACAGCGTGTACTCCCAAGTAGTCTCAAACCTTATTTTTTTTTACACACACCGTTAATTTCATTTTTTTTGTAATTTAAAATGTGTTTTAACATTTTTGTTCCAATAACCTTAAAATTATTAATGTTATTTCATGACGTATAATTTTAAAATTATTTAAATTCAAATAAGTAAATTACCTCCAAGGTTCGAGTGCTGGTTCCCAAGCGGATAGCGTGCGGTTGTAGTAATCGATGGCGAGTTGCGCGCGCAGCTGACCCGCGCCCGCGCCCGCGCCCGCGCCTCCCCCCAACTGCGCCGCCACGCCCCCGACGCCCGCCGCGCCCGCCTCCCCTGCCGGCGTCGACACCAGCACAGGGTCCGGGAACGTCTCCTCCACCTTACGCAGATCCTGATAACGACATCGTCATTTTTCACAAAATACAGATAGATTCGATAAGGTATTCCAAGTTGCTAACAGTTGCGCCACTATATCGAACTGAGGCACTAACCTGATCTAGACGCAGATCCGACAGCGAGACCTCGAGCAGCGGCACGTCGGAGTCCAGGCAGTCGTCGATGACGCACAGCGTGGCGCACTCGGCGCTCACCTGCAGCACACACATGCACACCGCCTTATAGCTCAACCCTCGACAATATCAGGTGGAAAACAGTACGAAAATAAGAAATATCATGAATCAGAACATATTTCTTGGTAAGGCTCACTTTAATCGCGGCGAGTGGCCAGACGGCGGAGGGCTGAGCCGGCGGAGGGTCCGGGGGCGCGGCGGGCGGGCCCCGCGCAGCCCGCGCCCAGCGCGCCGCCAGAAGCCGCGGGGCCGCGCCCCCGTCCACCGCCCGCATGTGCTCGCTGTTGGCGGGTGCGTCGCGCTGCCCCGCAGCCTCGACCTCCTCCGAATTGCCTACCGATATTTATGACCACATCAAAGATCATAATCTTCAGACCTCGGTCATAGTTAAATAAGCAAAGCGCAGGGGCGCAGGTACCCGAGAGAGCGGCGCGCGCCTGCGCCGGCAGCGACTGCAGCATGGCGGCGAACATGCGCATGTCGTGGTACGACAGCCGCAGATTCAGCTTGCCCATCGACACCTGCCACACACCACCGGCGACATGCTTCATCGATCAATTGTATTATTAAGAAAATTTATATAAAAATATAGATAGGAATAATAAAAATGTAAAGTTTTATAATAAATAGGGGCTCGTGTTACGTGGAGGAGGCGGCTGGCGTCGAGGTAGGCGTGTAGGTTTGCGGGCTCGACGATCGCGAGCGCCGTCTCGTCCTCCAGGCCCAGCACGCACGAGAACACCTCCAGGCCGCTCAGCTCGCACGACACCGGCCGCGCCGCGCCCCACGAGTACCGCACCACCGTCGTGCTCTATTGATGCCGAATCTTATCATGCCATTCACCGCTTATGGATTAAACTAAAGAACGCAACACGTGTACAAATATGTGCAACTAAAAGTAAAATTGGTTCCCGCGTTGATTTAGCATGATTAAGGACCTGGCGATCGCACGAGCAACTTACAGTTGCGAATTTGTATTTTTATATCATTATCTGCTCAGTTTAACTGTTTTTGTATTTTTTGTATCTCTACTCTAAACTGACGCACTTTCAGTATAACAGCGTTGGTGTCCCAGACTGAGGCGTCCTCCACCAGCACGAGTTGCGAGTCCGTTACGTTGAGCTTGAGTTCCACCGGCCCCGCCCCCGCCTCCGCCTCCGCCACGCCCTGCGCCCCGCCCTCCTTGTCGCCCGGATACATCCCGCACGCCTCCTCGCTAAACATTCAAACATTCAAGATATAGTTGTCGATACCACAGCGATAGCACAGCGACAACAGTGTCCACTTACAGATGCGCGAGGTCGGGGTCGGTGGGCGGCAGCGGCGCCTGCATGATGAACTGGTTGGCCGCCTCCCACCAGTCCAGGATGGCCATCAGGCGCATGTTGTTAATGAGGATCGTATACGCCGAAGAATCTTGACGCTTCCTGTACGCAATTAATTGCACGAGAAACTGACGAATGAGTCTATTTAATGAAACATTTAGTGCCCGTTCACATGCAGGTCGCGAGCGCGGGCACCGCGGCGAGTTTACTTTAGGCGCAAGCTATTTTGTGCGATCGACCGGTTCAAACCGATCAATTAACTCGACGTCGCGAATAAATCGTCCGCGCCTTCTGCGTGAACAAGCACTGATCAGATGAAACGTGACAAGTATGAATGTGAGCACCTGGCGTGCACCTCGGCCTGCACGCTGTGGCGGTGGTCGGGCAGAGGCTGCACGATGTGGCTGAACACGTTGCCGCGCCGGTTGGCGGGCTCCTCGGCGTACCGCACGTCGCTCACCAGGATCTCCTGGGGACAAGACGATGCAAGCGGTGATTCACACCGCGGTACGATGGAGGGCGGATGGACGCGTGTAATGTGTAACCTGCGACACGAGGTCGACGTCCTGGCCGAGGTCGGAGTAGGTCTCGAGCAGCAGACGCGACTTGATGAAGTTGATGCAAGCGAGCGGGCCGGCCGCCGCCGTCAGCCGCACGCGCACGTCCTGCAGGTCCAGCTTCAGCGACCACGTCGTCCACACCTCACGTCACATACAAATATAACTGTATACGTACTGTTACACAATACATTTCAAAGATATGTATTATTATATATCCATATTTAATTTTCGCCACTTACCTGGTGTGTAGAATTCGAAGAATACGTAGCGGGCGTGGCCTGCGGTAGGGGCGCGGCGGGGGGCAGGAGATCGAGGCAGGGCTCGCCGAGGTTGTGGGTGAGCACCCCCCGCACCAGCCGGTACTGCGCCGCGTCCAGCGCCAGCTCGAGCGTGGTCAGCGTGCCCTGCACGCTCGTATCGGGCACTGTCAAATCAAGTTAAAACACTATACTTATAAATTTGTTTTCCTCCATTAGGTGCGATTCATACTTTCGTACACAAAAAATCTACTGTTAATAGGCGTTAGTTGTCAAACAAATCGTCAATTAAATGGATAAGGTATTATGTTAGAAGTGAAGTGAAGTAGAATACCATTGTGTGTGTCGCTGAGGTTGTGCTCGATGCGCAGCGCGAAGGTTGCGGGGGCGGGCAACAGAGGCGCGCCCGCACGCCCTGCCCCCGTCCCCGCCCCCGCCCCCCAGCACCGCAGCGTCACGCCCTCCAGCCGCACCTCGCGCACGTCCAGCACCTCGCGCTCCACTGCGCAGGCACGTACATTCCACATTATTAATGTATATTATAACTTGACAAAATCAGCAAAATCATTATATAGAAAAACAAGTCAGTATTCTGAAAATGTCAGAATATATGTGAATAATTAATTACAAACAAGTTTATCAGGTCGCGCTGAGTACTCACGTGCAGCGGGGTCGGCCAGAGTGCTGATGGTGTCCGGGTCGCCGGCTCGGCGGAAGCAGTTGTCGAGGTGCAGCAGGTGCAGCTGCGCGGCCAGCGCGGCGCGGCTGCGTCCCGACACCGGCAGCACGATGAGCGGCGCCGCGCACCGCAGCCGCAGCCGCATGCGGTCCGTGCGCGTCGACGTCACGGCAGATGACACCTAACCGATCGTCAAAATTCCTATAGTTACGGAAATGCCTTTCAATAAAGCGATGTAGCAACAATGTGGGGACCGACCTTTCTGCGCGCCTGTGCGATCACACGGCGCAGCAGGCTGAAGTCGCGCGCGAACGCCTGCAGCTCGAGCACGAAGCGCTTCGTGTGCACGTACGTGAGCGGGCCCATGCGCACGCTCAGGCTCGTCTCGTGCTCAGCCGCCGCCGCCTCCGCCGCGCTCAGCCTGCACACGCAACACTTACTCGCACCACCACCAGCCCACCACTACGTTTCTCATTCATTATTACTTCCGATGTTTTGCAGGCGGAAGTTACTAACCTGGCACACACCCTACGGTATGTACCGCGGCGTAGCGTGCGAGTTATATCTATAGTGACAGAAGTTGGATTATACCTTTTATAATCGAGGGCGAGCGCGTGGCGGGCGCGCGTGCGCAGCCTGTGCGCATAGGGCGCGGCGCGCGGCGCCAGGTCGACTAGCGCGAGCGCGTCCAGCGTGGCGTGCACGCGGCGCGCCCCGCGGCCGCTGCGCGTGCGCACGTGCGCGCGCGACATGAGCGCCCGGCACGCGTCGCCGCGCGCGCCCACCACCACCACAGACAGCGAGCGCACCAGCACCTCGGTCTCCGTCAGCGTCGCGCTCTCACCATTGCTCCAGACTGCATCGCCTACCAGTACGGAGTACCTAATGTTTCAGTAAGTCTCCAGTGTGCGGGGGCTCTCCACCGATCATCGATAGAATAGTGCTTATAGTGGATAAAAAATATGCTTTTCTTTATAAATATTTTTTTAATCGAGGCTGTAGACCTGAGCGGGAGGGCTCGGCCGTGGGCCCCGGGTCCGGCTCGTCCCCGGCCACGCCGAAGAAGTCCAGCACCGCTACCCAGCTGTCTATGCTCAGCACCAGCTTCAGGCAGTTAAACTCCACCTTAGTTTGCTTCGATACCTGGTTTACACGATTTAAGTTCAATGAGACAAAATTGATCATTATTATAACTGTCGAGCTACTGCGTGTCTTACGAAGCGTGGAGAGGAAATATATGATACCTGATCAAATTTGTCATGAAAGTTTGGGTGTTGGGGGTCGCGCGTGTGCACGGAGAGCCACACCAGGTTGTCGTCCCCGGCCGGCTGCTCCGCCTCGGCCTCGCCTGACAGCCTGAACGTGTCGCAGGAGTCCGCTTGCTCGACCGGCTCCAGGGGCTCCAACGGCTCCAGAGGCTCGGGCGAGCACGGCGGGGTCGCACCGCACTTGCTCTCCGACTTGCCCGATCTGTCTCGACCGGGCTAACATATAAACCAATTGAAATACAAGCATAACATTCAACAAAGTATGAAACTAGTAAAACTAAAAACTAGTAGTACTAAAACTAGTAGTACTGTTTGAGGCTCAATAGAAATAGATATTTAGCACTAGGCACCTCCGTGTTTGCGACGTCCGACTTATTGATAGCGGCGGGCAGGGAGGTCGTGAGGGGCTTCATGTAGTGAAGGGGCGTGGCGAGCACGGATGCGTTCGCGCGCAGCTCCGGGCACGACTTGGACAGGAAGAGGGAGGTGCGCGGCGCGGGCGGCGAGTGCGAGGCCAGCAGCACGCGGTGCCGTGACTCCGGCTCCTTGGTCAGGTCCTCCATCGTCACCGAGTGCAGCGACACCTGCCGTAAGCGGACAATAAAAGCATTACGCAACGCCCTTCTCCGCTCGCGACTGCGGCTTCTACTGAGAAAAGAGAACACGAAATGTAACCTGCAAGTCGGTCTCGTGCGGGCGCAGGTGGTGATAAGTGAGGGCGAACTCGCGGAAGATGAGCGCCACCAGGCTGCGCTCGCCGCCGCCCAGGTCCGCACGCAGCTCCACCGCCAGCTCCGACACCTCGAACGACACTGTGAGCCCACCACACCGCTTTATAGCATCGCATAGTTGTAGTAGTTGACGTGGAACATATGTAAAGAGGCGCACCGGTGAGCGGAGCGTGCGAGCGGGAGCGCGGCGCGTGCTGCTCGGGCGCGCGCTGCGGGGGCGGCACGGCCAGCACGGCGGCGCGCAGCTGCGGGTCCAGCCGCAACGTGGGCACCGCTGGCTCCACCAGGGTCGGCACCGCGCCCTCCGCCGACTCCGCGTTCTGCAGCCGCATATTACATTAAAACACGCATATATAATCCTTCAATCCATTGAAACAGTAACACCGAATCATTTTACAATACTTTAGGGTGAAATAACGGCAGTGCGAAAATTTGTTCCAAATTTAAGTACCTCCATGGCTTTGCACATTTGTGAGTGTGCGTCGTTATGTGGAGCGTCGGGCGCAGCGGAGGCGGAGGGCGGCGGTGGGGGTGGGGGCGAGGGCGCGGGCGCGGGCGCGGGGCTCGGAGGGCGCACGTCGGGGTGTGAGGAATCGGCGACCCAGCGCAGAGTGTCCAACAGCTGCTCGTACTGCTCTCGGCTGGCGGAGACCTGCAGCGCGCCCACTATCGCGCCGCTGACGTCGCACTGCACAACACACTCGACGTATTCGTCTCGGGAAAGTGCTGACGCACTCTCGTGGCAAGAGGGCGATACGCACGTGCAGCAGATGGTCGCGCTCGTGCAGGTCCAGGGCCAGCTGCAGCGCGGTGTCGTGCAGCACGGGCCGGCCGCCGGACACGTCGTACACCGCACTCATGCTGTCCGCAGACAGCGGCTGCCGGCGCAGGCGCTCGCCCACGTCCAGCTGCGCGCACACAGACACGCACACAACTCATCGTACTATTTGCTAATATACATCTCAATGCAGGAGAAACAACAACAAGATTTGTGCATTTCTTTGGTTTGGAATATATCAACTTAGTAATAATATAAATGCGTATGTTTAGATGGATGAAAGGATGGATGGATGTTATTGTTTGAGGTATCTCCAGAACGGCTGAAAGGATCTCGATGAAATTTGGCATACATATAGAACATAGTCTGGGAGAACACATAAGCTAATTATGTTTGTTTTTAATTCCGCGCGGACGTAGTAAAGGAGGTGGTACTGACCGAGGCGAGCGAGATGTCGCGCACGCTGACGGTGTACTGCGTGTTCCGGGGCGCGCCGGGCTCGTTGGTGAGGCTCATGCGGCCCAGGTGCGCCACGAACACCTGCGCAAAACGTTCATTTTTATAACATCGAATACAATTTTTTCTTAGTTTCATACGAGGAACTATTATTTTTTTTTTATTTAACTTACAAAAAAAAAGTGTTCACAAAAGTTACCTGGGTGCTGTGCGCCGCTCGGGGCACCACCACCACCGGCGACTCTAGCTCGATATTGACGCTGCGGACAAGACACGGTCAGCACCACATCTGCACCTTTACTTATCCAAGGAAATATAATTTGTACACACGTGAGCAGTATGTCGGTGCGCACGTCGGGCTCGTCGAGCGAGGGCGGGGCGTGTGCGGGGGGCGTGGCGCCCGCGGAGGTCGTGCGGCGCCGCCCCCACGCCTCCGCCGACTGCGCCAGCCGCGGATTGCCGTAAAGTGACTCGCCCCTGTTACGCAGCACTTATTATTTACTACCACTGTATTCAAAGTATAATTCAAAACAAATATTTATCGAAAGTTTTAACAAAACGAAAAGATATGTATTTAAAGTGTACAAAGCGTATTAAAAGTATCGAACCTCCTTGGTAGCACGGGAGAGTTTGTATGCTGTCAAGGAGATCGACTGGTCAGCAGCTCGACGCCGCGTCAAATGACAAAGTAAAAATAGTTAAAAAAACATAAATGAGTAATTAAGAGTGTGAAAAAATGTTGTTGTTAATTTTTTTTATAGTTAATTTTTTTTTTAGTTAAAGTTTTGATTTATAGTTATTTTTTTTGTATATATTTGATTTGGTGCAAATGTCTTGTAAATGTGATGAAGATGAAGAAAATAGTTGATTAAATAATATTGAAGATAGAAAGTTTACCAAATAAAAAATTGTACAACCCTCTGCACCAGAAATACTCAGAGGTCGTCGGACAATATCAAGAAATGAGACATTTATCATCGGTCGGTTTAAAAATATGAATGCAAATGTAACCGGGGGCTGGGGTGCACGAGGCCGATGGCCATGTCCGCGGCTGCCGCGCGGATGGAGCGCGCCAGGTTGGCCAGGTACTGCTTGAACTCGGTGAGGCAGGACTGCAGCTCGCGCAGCAGCGCGCCCGACTGCGTGTACCACACGCTCGCCACCCGCACCGACACCGACGCCTCCACCACTGCAAATTAACATCATCGCTTCCTTCATCTCGCAAAGGTCCCCGCTGCGCCCACTCGGCACTCGTTACCTACACTAAACTACACACCAGTAGCATCAGGGGTGGCCCCGGGCAAAAGGTCGCGCGTGATGGTGAAGAGCAGAGCTTGCGCCTTGTCGTCAGGCGCGTGGGACTCGTGCGAGTCGCGCGGTGCGTGCGCGCGTCCGGCGGCCAGCACGCGCGTGTGCAGGCCCGCCCCCTCGCACAGCGACACCACCTGCACGCCGCCCAGCGACCCGCCCACCTCCAGCCGGCGCGCCGCTGCACATGCACACGCACATCTCGTACATCAGCTGCGCGCTCACAGTACGCATACAACAGAGGTGACGGCTACGGACCGAGGGTGGCCTGTATGCGCGCCTCGCAGACGGTGGCGGTGGCGATCTTCCTGGCGACGAGCGCGCCGTCCAGCACCGCCGCGCGCAGCAGCAGCACGCCCAGCCGGTGGAAGTCGAACGTGATCTCCGTGCGCACCGCGCGCTGCACGACATGCACAGTGATCACCACATCATTACTATCGTATATGATTGTAATCAACACCCTAATCACATGTAACAGCCGTGCCATACAAAACAATTATCTGTCTGTCCCTGCGGACGAACAAACCGTTAACCTCCGAAACGATCAATTTTGGCACAGCTAGCATAATAAGTAAATAAAACTTCAACGTGAAACATGATATTGGCTTAATCGACACTGTTGTTTATTAATTTACCTGCGGGAGATCTTCCGCGTCTGGGGCATCGTGGGCTGGGACGTGCGGGGCGGGGCCGTCGGGCACGTCTGCAGCGCGCGGCGCAGGCGGCGCGGGGCGGGGCTCGTGCGGCGCGCGCGGGCCCAGTACGCGATGTGCGAACCCTATCAGCTCCACAATCGTCTCCTGGTTCGCTACACGAAAGACAATGAAGGCAGCGATCTCCATATATCCCATTGTTGTGCATTTAAAACAATACACTTAAAATATTCTGTGACTCACCAATAACGTCCAAATTGTTAAATAAAATATTGGCGATCCTCAGGTCTTCGGAATCGCTGTCGCCTTTGACGAGGCATATTTCGACAGCGATGAGAGCCTCGGTGTCGACGAGGCCGGGCGCGCTCCAGCCGTTGCCGCCGCCCCACACCGCGCCCGCCGCACCCCCAGCGCCCCCCGCACCACCAGCACCCCCAGCGCCGCCGATGGGCCACGTAAAGGCGGTCGACGTGTACTCCGTGTTGGCAAAGCCGCACCCCTCGCCGGACATGCAATTTGTTATCGGACTTCTTTGTCCTAATTCCTCAGAATCTAAAAGGAAGTTAACGAATCGCTTAAAGTTTACCGAGACACTATTTATTTGATTAAACGGTGGGCCATTATTGCGATTTGCTTGTTTCACAAACGAAATATTTTAATATATTCATAAAGTATTATTTACATACCGGGGAGCGAGGCGGATGTGATGGGTGCAGCGGGTGCAGCGGGTGCAGCGGGTGCGGCGCGGCGCAGCGAGCGCAGGGCGTGGCGCAGCGCGCGCGGCGTGGGCGGGGCGGGCGCGGCGCGGCTGTCGGGAGACGCGGGCGACGTCGGCGACGTGGGCTCCGAACCGCGGATGCTGCCCGATGCGGTGTCCATTCTGCATCGTTTCATAATTAGATTTTGTATTCTTATAGTAACACAGCACACAGGTTAAGGAAGGCTATGGATCGACAAACACTCGCTCACCCGACGTGCTTGTGACTGGCGACGAGCAGCTCGAAGTCGGGTCCGTAGGTTTGCAGCGCGTCCACCAGCAGCAGCGAGTGCACCGACAGCGAGAGCGACAGGTCGCAGGGGCGCGCGCTCAGCGCCGCCTTCACGCCGCACACTTGCACCTCTGCGATGCTGCGCCCGCGCGACTGCACCTGCACAGGACGCTCAGTATGCACTGCGCCCACGTCTCGCTACCTCCCACCGGCACCACCTCGCTCGAGATTACCTCGAGTGACATCTGGTCGATAGCGAACTGCAGCATGAACAGAGTAGCGTTGTTGTTCGCCGACAACTCCGAGCGCTCCGTTTCCGAGCTAACGCTGGTCTCGTCCTCCTCCTCCTCCTCCTCCTCGTCTTTCCCCTCCTGGGTCGGGGACTCGCGCCTGCAGACATACGCGGAGATCGTACAACAGAAAAAGGGTTTATATAATGAGGCATGTTCGCAGAGAGCGTCAGCGCCGCCTCACTCGAGGTCGGTCAGCCGGCAGCCGGCGGCGACGGCGCGCACGGCGGCCAGCTTGTGCTCGCTGAGATGCACGACGAGCGCGGGCAGCGAGCCGCACAGCGTGGCCGAGGGGTACTGCGGGTCGCTCGTGTGCACCACGCGCCGCTCCGCCTGCACACGTTACTAAACTTATAGCTTATATTTATACTATTCTGCTTGGGATGTATTTCGACAGTACGCTCATTTAATACATTTATTTATTTTACAGTATTTAATGCATACAATGCTGCCATTACCGACCTGCAGCGATATGCTGAACCGGTCCAGTAGGTGCAGGGCCGAGGTGGTCTTGGTGTGGGCATACTTCCAATTGTCCTTAGCGCGCCCCACCAGGATCTGCAGCTCGCTCAGCTCGATGTTGTACCTGCCGCAAGCCACACCGTCAGTGAAAGGAGGTTCGGTCTCTCGGCACGGGGCTCGGCGCAACCGACCTGTCGTACAGGCTGATGTGGAGGTTGGCGGCGTCCAGCAGGCGCGCCGCCGGCGGCGGGTCGGGCGGCGAGGCGGGCGACAGCAGGCTGCCCGGCGGCGTCGAGCACGGCGTCATGAACATCTCTGTCGATAACAACGAACATCAGCCTTCTGATGAAACGGTCGACGATCATTTAAATTTAAATTAAAACTCCCGTTATAAATACCATCGGTTCGATTATTGCATTACCTTCATCATCTTCCGGGGTGGCGTCT